CGAGGGTGTCACACTTCTTCCTGGTTATGTGCTGTTCCCGCTTCCTGTGCTTGCTGTTGCAGTTTTCTTGGTGCAGATTCAGCACACTGAACTGGCACAAAACAAAGCTAATCTCTCTCCATTTCTATACACCCCATAAAAATTTATATTGGCTTCGGGTAAGTTAGCGAGTTAAGTTGGTTTGTTGCTAAATAGGCTTTTTTTTTTCTTTTTACACTGTTAATCAAATAGGTTGTAGAGTTGGCACAAGTAAGAAGGTGGGACCATGTGGTCCATTAGCAGCTGTATTTCTTAATTGGGCAGACTAACTGGGAGCTGCTTTAGTTGAACAGAGCACTGTCTTTGCTTTAATATCCCCTGCCCCTAACCAGGTTCCTGATACGCACTAGAAATCATTTGGTGAATTATTGCCATAGAATATTGAGCTGATTTGTGTTTGGGATTGTAGTTTTGTGATTGCAGTTTTGCTAGTTGCGATTGTGAAGGATATATATCTTGTTTTTCTAGATCCGATTCTATGAAGTAGTCCATTCCTTGAAACAAGAGCTAAGTGAGCTACAGATGAAAAAGGAGAGCCTAACAGAAGAAATAAGCGGGTACAAATCCCAGCTTAAGTGTCTGACAGAGGTCTGTCCACCTTAATTATCTCAATAAAGAAACTGTGGAAATATATATATTTTGCAAAAAAATAATTCTCCAAATCATTATTCATGTATAAGATATAAAAGCTTTTTTGCCATGTAAAAATTACTGGGGATTGGAGGGGGCAGGGAGGGGGAGGCAAAGGGGAAACATGTTATATATGTCCTTGCATAAGAGCTAATTTTACGTTATGGATAACCTGCAAGATTTGCTCATGAGACTGTTCAGGATAGACTCTTACAAGCTATGTTGTGCTTTCTGAGGGCAAGGTTGAGGCAGGGAAGCTGAGACAGGAGATCCATCCAGCACTAGTTGAAGACACAATGATGGCTCAATGTATAGTTTTTGAGATGGTGATGTCTTGGTAGTAATTTGCTTCACCTTTTGTTTTCATCATATAAAAGTACATTTTTTAAGAATTATTTGCAGTTGCATCTTCTGTTATGCTTTTCAACTTTTATATTATAATTTTTATATTTATATCTATACTAAAGAAAAAGATAATTTGATTTCAGGTAAGGTATAAATGCCAGAAGCAGAGAAACAAATTTGCTAAATAAATTTAATTTTTATTTTCAAAGAGTGAAAGGAGTTGAAACAGTATAAGGAGAATGTTGTTTTTAAGGTATTTATGAATATTTATAGTATTAGTATGTATACAGCTAGGATGATTTGTCTTTTAGCTTAGTTCTGCATAAATCTGGAGCTGCATTAAGACAGTTTCAGCTACCCAGAGTACATTTAGGCAAGTCATGGCTAGCAGGGACTTAAATGCCACTGTCATTTTACTACTTCTGAAATTATTCTTTAGTTACCACCTTTTTTTTTTTCCTCAAAATTTGCTTACGGAATAATCAGGTGTAAAGAGATCTTAATTATACAGGATTATCTTGTGAAATTAATATTATTTTTGTTTTTCTTTTATTGACTATTTTTTCTAATTAAATCTAAAATTTGTGCATTTATGTGCTTCAGCATTATTTTGTGTCATCATCTCTGGTCATAATTGAAGTTAAATTAATCCTGTTAGCTTTGATTTACATGGACATTTTCCTTTATTGTACATTTAATGTGCTCTGATTTAATAAAATTCAACCGGGGGATTTTAGCCTTCTGAGATTTGACTGACATCTGTGTTAATTTTTGCTGCAGCAGTTTAATGGGGTAGATAACGGTAATTAAAGTTGTGCTGGAAACAATTTTTTGGGTACATTGACCTGTCTTTAATATAGAAATGTCTGTTTTTCTTTTTTTTTTTTTTTACCACATGGTGGCAGTATCCACCTTTCCCACTGATTTATTTTCCAAAGTTTGAAGTTTACTGTGCTTTTCTTTTGATGCTCAGAGAAAGCACTAGAATGTTGCTTGTGTTGAACTGAGGTAGTTCTTTGAATGCTTATACCCTGTTTGCATAATCATGCTTAAAATGAGAGACAGTTAGTGAAAATGAATACCTCGTTTAAAAGAAAATAAAATCAGGGAAGGGATCCAGATATTGAAATGTCACAAGAAGAAAAGGCTTGAAGTTGTTAATAAAAAATATTCCTTAGGATTCTCAGGTTTCAGATAAGAAAAGACACAAAGAACCCAAACCCAAGTTTTCACCCTTATCTGTTATGCATAGAGATGACCTGTTTCGGATTTTTAGTGAAACGTGACCTGATATGAGGTATTTTATAGATGGAGAGACTTAAGAGTCTCCTGTATTTTGCTTCTGGCAAGTTCAGATTTGACCTGTTGTTAATGAGTGTCACTGTAACAAGGTACCTCAGGCTGCTTCTGATAATAAGGTAAGAGGAGCGTCATCAATACGTGAGGGTACTTTAGCATCTCTAATGTATGTAGTACACTAAAGCTAACATACGTCAGCATCTTTTGCAGCTTACAGAGAAGTGATTTCAAGGTGTACTGTTGGGGTAACTTACTTATTTGAACTCCTCCGATAAGGTCAAGCTTTGTTGCAAGAAAACTTATCAGTAGGAAATAAAGCATGGTTTCATTCAGAGTCTTACTTAAGCCCTTATACTCTTCTTTCACTGTTTTTGTAGTATTTGAATCATTCTTTATTTCCAGCTACATGAAACATAGTTGCTCAAGTTCCCTGCTTGTTATTTAATAACCTATACTCTTCAAATCCTTCCTCTTGTTTCCCATCCAATACTCCTTAAATTTTAAGTTTTCTCCAACACTTGCAATATTTCTGTTCTCTACATAGTTCATCAACAAAGTGTCTCTTCTGGGTTCTATAGGAAACTACTAATACAGACTTTTGAAATACAGTCATCACTGAAGACAATCTTTCTTTTATTTTTTTTTTTCCTTCTGTAAGAATAAACCACTTCCTACAATAAGCGTTCCTTTTTTTCTACTATTGCAAATAATTAAGGCTCTTCCTAATGAATTTCAACATGGTGGTTTTTTCTCTTTATGGAACATGGAAATGAACTAAAATATATACTTATCCCAAATCTTTCTCTTAACTACTAATGGCTTGGGGGAGGAGGATTTTGCTGGCTTTTCTTGTTGTTCATGGCTAACAGACTAGATTTGAGTAAGTTTTATACCTGTAGCTCTTCACCCAGGAAAAAAAAGTAATGAGAAATAAGAGAGAACTATGTATAGACTCATAGGAAAGTCTATCGAGCCAACAAACAATTGAAAAAGTTTGAAGGAAAATCCAAACTTCTCTAATGTGTTAAGCCAGGTCTAGGAAAATTTAAATATTAAATAAAATGAATTCATCACTCAAGACAACCATTGCTTAACATCAGCTGTGTTATTTTGTTACAGGATGGCTGCAGTGAGTACAGTGGCCTGGTCTTGTGGCCTGTCAGCCAACTGAGTTTATAAGCGTCCAGCTGTACCAGCTAGGAAGCTTGATTCTGTAAAAATTGACTTGTCAGTGTAGCCTTGTAGAAACTGGTTCTCTAAGACTTGACAAATCCACATGTTCTTTATCTCTAGGCAATTCATTAATTCATTTATATTAGAAAAACTTAATTCTAGCTTCAGAGCACAAGACATCTTTCAAATGTTTGTCACCTGTATTTGTACTCTAGGTGTATGAAAATACATTTTGTTTGTTCAGACGGTTCTAAGCATGTATCAGCCTCTGTTAGCACTCTAATTCTTAATTTGCTGAGGAGTATGACCGCTAAAACTCTACAACTTTCTAACAAAGTTCTCTTGTTGATTGTCTGTTGCTGCTCTGAGTTAGCACTTAATCAAAGCCTGCTGAATCTGTAAGGCAGACCCACTAGGCTAGGGAACTGCTTCTGACAACTGGTAGCAAAGAACAGCGCATGAAGACTCATGTCTAGGACTGGAACGTAATCTGATAAACACAGCTAGTGTCAAAATATCTTTGTCACAGACAAAGATCTTTCTGTTTTTTAAGTGGTCAATATAAATGGTTCTGCAGTACTACCACTAAGTTACTGGGTCTCTGTACACAATTGTTGCATCTGTGGTTTAGAACAGTGCGGTTCCTCTGATTCTAGGTGCAGCAGCCACAGTCTGGGGGCAGGCAGTGGAACTGATAAAAGCGATATTCTTGTATTTCAGTGCTGACTGATCTGTTACTAAATGTATAGTACAGGCTCATTTCAGTCCTTCTTTCACAGTGCTCAGTACTTCAAGTACAAATAATGCTGGCACCACCACCTTTGGAGGTACAGATATAGAAGAAAGTCTAGCTGTAGTGTTGAATTACCAGGAGCTTCCCAGAAACAAAACCAGCTTCTGATGTGTGTGTTCCCTCGCTTAACATCAGTGCACTATTTTCAGAGTTGTTTGCTTCCAAAGTGGTTAGAACCTTCCCTCAAACAGATGTAATTTACTACTCGCGTGTTTCTCTCAGGGCTGTGAGAGAGTCTGAGAAAGAAATTCTGCTGTTCTTTGTAGCTCTAGAAGATTAAGTATTGCTTTCTTCTTCTGGCTATGAGTTTCTTGGCAATGTTTTCATGGAATTTGGTCTTGATGCAGTTTTGTCAGGGCTTCCTTTCTTTAGTTTTTTTTTTCTGTAAAGTTGCCTTTAGGACTTGCCATCAAATTTATAATATGACAGTTATCTAAAAGCTATGGTTAGCCTAAAGACAAAGCTGGATGTATGTAGGACAAAGATCTCTTCTAAGACCTTGTCTCTGAATTGGGATTAGTAGCTGTCAGGTTTTGCTAAACAAACCTAACAATTTTCTCTGTGATAATGTTTAACAGCTGGAGGAATAACGTTTCTCTAGTCTTCAAAGAAAGAACTAAGCTATTGCACTCAAATGATCAGTAGGCACTAGAGGTATCTGAATGTTGTAAAATTGAGGCTACTGTTGTTACTGCAGGAGGACTGCCTTTCCTAAGATTTCTTCTGAAGTTTGCACATCCGCAATTAAAGCCTGCACCCTAGAACCCTTCCCCAGTACCCTGACGTCAGTTCTTTCAAGCAGTGCTTTGATTACTTTGTCTTCATATCTGTCTCTAGAAAGGACAGATGAGGCCTCAGTCTTAGGTGAGATATGTGCTTTCTTTCCTTCATTATTAATATTTATCCTGTTCAGGAACAAAGCTGCAAAAAGAAATATTCTACCAATAACTATGATCTTGGGGCAGCTGTTTAACATTTCCAAGACTCAAGGAAACTTACATATCTATGAAAGTTCTCTTTTTAATTGAATGTCTTTCTACCTTTCTTGATATATAGCTATGGCTCATATAGACTGCTAGTCGTTGTTCAGGAGGACCAAATAGCTTAATTCTAGTGTCTAATGCAATGATATCAAGGATCCTTTTCACCTGAGACTATTTCACTGAAGATTCTCATCAGCTCAGATCCAGAGAGGAAGAGCTTTTCATTCCCCAACTTTCTTTTGCAATAGAGGCACTTACACCAAAGCTTTTTTCTTACCTTTCTTGAAGAGCTTCCCTGTTTTGGAAGTAGCTCAACATTTTTGTTTGTAATTTTTAGTGGCAGATACTGTCCCATCTACAATCCTTGGCAGATTACCAATTTCATATTGCCATACTAGAAGAGATGTCTTATTCATCCAGTTATACATAACTTATTCCTGACATTTGGGCAGTTGTATTCAAATAAATAATGTATTGACCAATAATTTTTGAATGCATACTATGTAAACAGATTGAAGCAAAATGTCATCTTTACTAAAGTAGCAGCACCTCATCCAAATAACTTGAAGGAATTGGTTTTCACATCACAATAGATTACTAGCTTTACATTTACCTAGGGTCTTAGGTACCTTACGATATGAACAGAAAGTTTTGGCTTGTGTAAATGATCCTTCAAAGATGAAGTTCTTTGAAATAAGCTTTTTAAAAGCAGGATCACTTTCTTCCACAGGCTTATCTGCAGACAGTGTGAAGAAGTCATGCTACTTCTGCTTGATTGGCTGATGAATCTTTTCCTTCCATTTCTGTTGTTTATCTTCTTATCCCTGAAGGCTTTTTGAAAGATCAACTAATCCTTACCATGTATTACATGTCACTAACTTTGTTCAAAAAGTATGTCACCCAGCTTTTGTACCTGAAATTTAGATAAGTGTTCATTTCAGTGACTGCTATAAGCTGCTATTCATTCCAGATGGAGGATAACAATGAAGTTTAATGTCATAAAACTGAGGTCTGTGATTAGATCTATAGTTTCTCTACCAGTTTGAGTTTTAAATGGTGCAGATCAGGCAGGTTCAGAATCTTCTTGATTGAAACATCCATCTGTTGACAGTGTTTGTAAACCAAATGGAAGCAGTTCTTAGTATAGGGGCTGCTTTACATGCTATGTAGAAACCACCTGTACTGGTTAATACTGGGTCTCTTGGACAGCTCTGTTAACAATTTCTTTAGGCCATGTTTGCCTACCTATCTCACATAGGACAGGTTTGTTTGTTTTAACCACCTCATGTGTCTGAGTTGCTACTCTCTGCATTAGCAAAAATTAGTAAAAAGCTGAAGAAAAGCCATGCATTGTTGGCAGGATCATTGCAGTCATGTTCCATGTGAGGAAGTACTGTTTGTCCTTTAAATTTTTAAGGTTTGTGGACTTGCTTAAGTTATTTTTATTTTTTGGTGTTATTTCCAGGACCTCATTTCTATCCTTGAAAGTGCTCTGTGTCTTGATGCTTTTAAAAGCCCCCTTTTTGCTTCAACAGGACAAAGCTGTTCATCAAGACTTCCAAGCTATCTCTTGAAGATAAATTGAAAGATAAAGCTGTTCCACTGCAGAGATCTTAAAATCAGTTCAGGGTATATGGACATTATTACAAACTAAATTAACTTCATCACATGCAAAGGAAAGGTTATTCTTCCTAAGCACAGGCAGGTTGATTGTATGTCTTTAAGATGTATTGCTATAGAAGTCCAGAAGCTTGTGTATCTGCTACCTGGAGATATGCATACCATATAGGGAGATTGTGTGTTAGCCTATAGACTGTTTATTAGCTTGCCTTGCCCCAGTTTTTCTGTGATTAAAATACAACTTTGACACCTAAAAGATTAGTTAGTTGGAAAACAGTGGCCTGTGCAGTAGAATTAGTATTTCTTCAAGAATTATAGTAAATGTTTAAAAAACAAACAAAACTAAACCCCTTTAATTACTTGTTCAACAGTTTGATACTTTAAGTATGTCTTAGTATCACTTTTCAAAAGAAGAATTTGACTTTCCTCCTCTTTCCTGGAGTTAACATATTGTTACATGACATTAACAACTGATTTGTTAAAATTCAAAACCTAGTTTAGGTCTTAGGTGTTAGAAGGAACTAATCTTATAGATATTTAACTGTTCTGTTAGTTGGTGCTTTAGAGCTGTTTATGACAAATTTGTCCAAAGGTTAACCAATTTAATTTTATACTTTTGGTAGTTGTCTTCTGGCTGCTAAATGTGTAGTACTGTAGGAGCTTCAGTAGCCCACTCTGTGAAGCGCGTATGAGTTCCAGCATGGTATTAGCAGCAGAATGGCACAGAATATCCACGGAGGAATTGTATTCAAACTTAATCTTTCAATTTGCACTTAAAAGTTAAGTGCCCTTACCACCATTTCCTATTGCAGGATGAGTCATGTTTGCACTGTATAACAGGGTACTTGCACCTCTATGTTACATATTTGAAACTCTAGCTAACTTGTAGACAGCACCTTTAAAAACATCTGACAGAGGCCTTACCATTATGATAATGCCATCTTTATAAATGATGACATGTTAATTGGTTTAAGAAAGTGTCCTATAGTGTTAATTTGTTTACTGTATATCCATTAATCAGGGTAAACATAAAAATAAGCTGTATATACCAATATGTTAGGATGAATAACAATCGTGTGTTTAGGTGATGGGCTCCTAATGATATGCCATCACGAAAATTTTCTCCGTATTGGGATTTTGTGACCGTGAGTTGAGTATCAGTATTGCTGGTTACTTTGTGATGTATGCTAAATTTCAGAAGGGTGAGAAAAATGAAAACAATACCATTGGAATGTTCATAAGTGGTCTTCACAAAACTTAGTTGGTGGTTGATTTGAGTAAATATCAGTGTAGCTGTGATCATTTCAAAATGTCTTACCTTCTAGAACTATGAAGAAGAGAGGAGGAATCGGTCAGAACTTGAGGTTAGATGCCAGCGTTTGACACTGGAACTGGCTGATACCAAGCAGATGATTCAGCGAGCTGATTACAGACAAGAGAACTATGATAAAGTGAAATGGTAGGTATCTTTATAGTCCTACTGACATACAAATGTTAATAGGTAAACTTCAATCTTGATTGACTAGAGGTTTTCATTAGCACACCACAGATACTTTTCCTAACCTCAATCCACTAGTGGTTCAATTATGTCCTGTAGTATACTGTAGGCATAAAATGAACAACATTTTGAAAGCCGATGCATCGAATTATCTTCCTAAAAGTTTATATTTAGGGATTTACTGTGTTTTCAGAAGAGCCTACCAGTCTCATTGCAACTAAGGAAGTGGGAGCTGTTGATGCCAACCATCTTGGAACAAGTACTGGTTTTTCCTTAGTTTAAAAGGCCCTGTACTCTACTGTGTGGTGTGTACACAGTGAATTAAGAGGGTAGGACCTTGGGAATTAATATTTAACAACTTAAGATATCCTTGTAACCATGAATTTGAAAGGGCTTTTATAGAACTCTTTGTCAGAGAATCATAGGATTACCTTAGTGAATTGGTTTAACTGCAGGAAGTTCCAGTGTCTCTTTTCATTTTTTTAAATACAGATTTTTGAGTTCTACCCTATGGTTTGAATGCCCATCTCATAAACAACAATTGCAAAATAGTGAAAATGGACCTCTTAGAAGTACAGTCATAGGCATATACTTCACAGTTCAGTTCCCAAGTGGCTTTTTTAATGTGCTTGCAAGAAATCTGGCCTTTGTCACATTTGTTGGGGAATGGATTAAAAGGTGGGGATTATGAATAGAAAACACCCTGTCAGGTCCTTAGTTGTTCATACTGAATGAACTCAGGCACAGTCACTGACACAAATGACTTTGCCACTAAGTCATTTGAAGGAGAGTCTGTCTTCTGAGTTCACAGCTATATGCACTAAAACAACCCTGGAATCTACCTGGAAGCTTGTTGCAAATTGGGTGGATTGGTGCTATTGTTTGCTTCCCACGCGAAACTACATCTTAATAAGTGGATTGTAATAACTTTCATGTGAATGGCCCCGGTGTTTAACAGTGTACATTTTAAATAGTCTTGAGTTGAAGAAGGCATGAATGAATGTGCTGAATCCATATTTGAGTGGGTTTTATTCATCAGGTAGGCACAGATGAAGGGGAGGGGAGAGCACTGTTTGTGTGACTGCATGAGCATTGCAGAAGTTAATCACTTTGAGGCTCATTTCTGCCTTTAAAAATGTAATGTCAAATCTTCTAGTTCTGGTGTACAACAGGTTATCTCAGTTTTAAAGGTATGCTGTGCTTAACATAAAACTGGTTAGCTTTTTTCCAAACTGCAAGCTCATACTGGCTCATTCATTTTGCTGTTCTGACAGGATCACATCAAGTGGGGAGACATAGAGCTGCTTCTTTGTGCTTATGGAAAGCTCTCTTATTCAGGATGCCAGTATAATCTTTGCAGCTGTGTCACGTATATTTTAAACATGAGAAGAGTAGTACAACACCCTCTGGTATCAAGGGACTGTATCCAAGGGAGAGTAGCAACTGAGAACAAGTATACATTGCTTTCTGTTTGATTAGGATGATGGGAATGAAGTTGCTTTAGTTGTTCATCCAGCTTCAATGCCTGCAAAAGATTCAAGAGAATGTCATGGGAAATAGCATCAAAAGCTTGATAAAGCTAAAAGGATCTACAAGTGTACTTACAGCTCATTGCTAAGAGGAGAAATTTATATCCCAAAGTTACACTAAAGAAGAATAAGCAGAAGAGGATGAATAATTTAGGATAGGAATTCAGCATTATTGTATTATAATTTAGGACTATTTTTTAAATACTTAGAAACAAAGAAAATTCTTCCATATAATAAGATACCGTTGCAGGTATTAATAACTAAAAAAGATAAGATAATCGCTAATTGCCCTATGGGTGACTGGTTGGAAGAAGTCAGTGTCATGAACTGAAAGAAGACTGAGAAATTACAAATGCACAGGAATCTTGTTCATTACTATTATGCATCTAATAGTTTCACTTTATTTTAACAGTGAACGTGATATATTTGAACATGAATTGTCAGAACTCAGAAGAAAATATGAAATATTAGAGGTGTCACACAAAGCGCAAGCTGAAGAAAGAAATGACTTATCAAAAGAGGTAAAGAAAAAATTTTATTTCAGTAATTGTCTATTTCTTCACCTAAGGAATTTGATTCTTTGTCTAATCAAGTCTGTCAGTATCACCTGTAGGATCATGGAATAATTTAGATTAGAATGATGCTCAGGAGACCAGCTGTTCCAACCCTCCCATGCAGTGCAGAGCCAACTTAGGTCAGGTTGCTTAGGGCTTTGTCAAATATTGAATATCTCCAAGGATGGAGATTCCACAGCCTTTCTGGACAATCTGTTCCAGTGTTTATCCACGCTCTTTATGAAAAAGGTTTTGTAAAAATCTAATCAGAGTTGTTGCAGCTTTTTTTTCCTGCTGCCTCTTGTCCTGTCCCTGTGTACTTCCAAGAGTCTGGTTCTTTCTATGCATTCCAGTTGGACAGTTGAAGTTAACAATAACACTTTGCCCATGCAGATTTCTCTTCTGAAGGCTGAAAAAACTCCCACATTTCTTTCAACACCTCGTACACCATATGCTGCAGTCCATGACCATCTTGGTAGAGCTCTTCTGGTCTTGTGCCAGTATGTTAATGTATGTCTTTATGAGGAACTCAGAATGGGACATGGCACACCAAATTATAGAATCATTTAGGTTGGAAAAGACCTTTAAGATCATAAAGTCCAACAGTTAACCTAGCACTGCCAAGTCCATAGATTTTTTTTTAAGACTTGCTTTTAAATGGGGTTTTAAAAAATCATGTAGGTCTGAACAGCCTTTCTCTAGAAAGTGCTTGCAAACACTGACTCTTGTAGCTAAGGTTTCTATTTCTAGAAAACCGCTGTGAAATCTTTCTCTGTCATAATGATGTAGGGGCACTTTTACAGAGCTGCCTCCATTTGAGGAACCTAGAAAGAGACATAATGTAGCTTGCCTCTACCACAGTTTGGGATACTGTGCAAGCCTGCTTTACTGTCCTCTGGATATCAGAGGTGTCTGTCTCTTGCACTTTGATAGCAGCTAAAGAGAAATTCTGTGAATCTTACTTTGCCTTTTGTGGTCTGTTGACCCTGGCTGGATGCCAGGTGCCCCCCAAAGCCGCTCTGTCACTCCCCATCCTCAGCTGGACAGGGGAGAGAAAATGAAACGAAAGGCTTGTGGGTCGAGATAAGGACA